TTTGATGAGCGTAATCATTTTCAGGAGCTTCTCATCATCTAGTTTGTCTTTTGCTGTTTGTGGGTTTTCAGTTATATTTGATAGTGTATTTATACCATGTGTTAGGGCTCCTAAGTTTGTCCCTATTTTTCCTTTGATGATCTTTATAGTTTTAGGTTTTACATGTATGTCTTTAATTCATCATGAGTTATGGATCCTGTTTAATTGTGCTTCAGATAAATATCAAGTTTTTCTAGCACCATTTGTTAAAGAAACCCCTTTAATGGTAAACAAAGTATCCATAGGTGGGTGGGTTTACTTCTGGGTTCTCAATTCTGTTCCATTGGTCTGTGTATTTGTCATTGTAACTGTGCCTGGCAGCTTTGACTGACATGGCTACCTAGTAGATGTTGTGATCAGGAAGTAATAGTCTTCCTACTTTGTTGTTCTTTAGCAGTGCTTTGCTTATTCTGGGTCTCTCTCCTTTCTATAAAAAGTTGTTGTCAGTGCAAAGGTGGGCCAGGCAGACCTCTGTGCAGGGTAGGAGTGATGTTGGTAGGGCGAAGGGGCATCACTGACCACCAGGTGGATGGGGCTGGAGTGTAAGCGTACTTATGAGCACTGGGTGGTATGGGGGTAAGGGAGAGATCATACCCTCTGGCCGCTGGTCACTGGTGTGGGTGTTGCTGCAGCCTTGGGCCAGCCAAGCTGGTTGTCTGGTTCATGCCCCTGTCAAAATGCTGCTGTAATGATTCAAAATGGCCACACTGTGACAAGCAGACTTGCAGTGCTCTGCCCCTTATATCTCGTTTGGTGTTTTCCTTCAATGTCTTCTTCTAATGCCACTTTAATGGGAAACTTTATCTTCTCCTTTGAAGTTCAGAGTTCCTGGGTTGTTATGTGTATTTGTGTAACTTGCTTTCTCAGGTCTTTAATGTAGAGGATTTACCTAGTATGTCTGCCTGGTCTGCCATCTTAACTCTCTTTCCTGGTGGTTAAAAGAAACTACCAATTGTTTGCTGTTTCTCCACGTCCTCACCAACACTTACTATCATCTTTTTTATTATAGTCATTCCAGTGGGTGTGTAGCGATATCTCATGGTTTTAATTTGCATTTCTCTAATTATTATGTTGATTATCTTTTCATGTTATTAATAGCTATTTATAGATCTAATTTGGCAAACTGTTTGTTCAAATGCTTTGCCTATTTTTAAATTGAGTTGTTTTTTAAAAATTGCTGAGTTGTAAGAGTTCTGGATACATGTTTTTTTATTATATACGTGATGTACAAATATTTTATCCTCTCCTTTCCCCACCCCTCTTTCCTTCCCTCATTCTTCTCCTCCTCTCTTCATTACTCTTACCCATGTTGTTGTTGTTGTTGTTGTTAAGTGCCGTGGAGTCGGTTCCGACTCATAGCGACCCTGCACAGGGTTTCCTAGACTGTAAATCTTTATGGGAGCAGAACGCCTCATCTTTCTCCCGCGGAACCGCTGGTAGTTTCGAACTGCTGACCTTGCAGTTCACAGCCCAATTCGTAACCACTACACTACCAGAGCTCCTTTATTAGATGTAAAGAAACTAAGCAAGGTCTTCCTAGAATATTTCCATAACCTTTCAATACAATGATCTACTTTGCCAAGTGTGTCAGATAATCACTTTACTCTTTTTCCTTGTAGCTCAGTAAGCCTGTTTACATAGTGGTTTTTCTAGGAATTTCTTAAACTTTTTCTAGTGTTGTTGTTGTTGTTAAGTGCCCTTGAGTCGTTCCAACTCTTAGCAACCCTGTATAAGCTTTCCAAGGAGCAGCTGGTGAGCTTGAACTGCGTACCTTGTGGTCCAAACCAGCCTTGCATTCCTGCACATTAATCCGCAGCACCACACCAGGACTGTTTCCTGCACTGAGTCTATTTTCTATATGTCAAATATTTGGGGCAGGGGGGCGGGGCTTGGTCTCCATCTTGGCAGCATACATTCTCCAACAGCTTCCTAACAAAAAATACAAAAGAAGTAAATTTATATGTATATTGAAACAACTTTTATTTTACCAGCTCTCTTGATTAGTTGATTGATTATTGGGCCGGGTAGAAATTTCTGGATTGAAACTCATTTTCCACCAAAATATATGAAACCATTACTCTTATCTTCTAAGATTACTATTGAGAATTTGATACTAGTCTTATTCTTTATGTTTCACATCCACCCCTCACTTATCTGGGTGCTTCTGGATCCAAATATCCCCTTTTTCTGTTCTGAAATTTCACACTACAAGGTGGCGTGCCCTTTTTCCCTTTCATTTCCCTTGGCACTGGTGGACTTTGTGAATATGTTTTGATATTATTTCTTTAATACTTCTCT